ATCCTCCTCATGCACTAGTTGCACGCGGTGGTCAATTCCTGTTTGTGGAACGCATTTTGAATTATCACGATGTAAAGGACGTCAGACGAGTTACCTCATCCGGTGACGCAGCTATTCGCCTTCATAGGGTGTTTGGGAGCCTTGATCTTGACTGATGGGGGATATCTAAAACCTCGTCGAGCACAATGACAAGGCACATCCTCTACCAAAGAAGTCCCATCGTAAAACGAACACCCAGAGCATTCGCAGACAGACTGCAAATAAGCAGTTCCAGCGTACATCTCTGAAGATACACGTAATCTCCACTAGAAATCGCCCATAAAAGTTGTAGTAAAGTGGGGTTCGCTCATTTTATGAGGCGGTACCGACTCTCCACTTGCGCCTAGACGACCGATTGACAGACGCGGTACTCCGATCTTGCTTGCACTTGTTTTTCTTCACTTAGTATAATCCTCGGTAGGGCGGGTTGCACTCTTCTAGGTGGACTTAACTCGATGCTGAACTTGACCGTTTTAGAGATCAGTGTCGATTGGGTGGAAATTACTCACCCAATCGTGTGTTCTCATTGGCGCTCTCCTATAGTCGCCGCAATCAGCCTTGATCTCCTTGCGTCAAAAATGGGTACTTGAATCGCGCGATATTGAAGAAGATGATGCCAGTGAGAGTGCGGAAGCCCTCACTGAAGAAAAGGTTGATGTTGCTGCAGTGCACTCACAGTGCACTGAAGCTAACGAGTCATCAGATGAGTTCATACTGGCTCGTGAAACGGTAGTCCGTTTTGTGCAAGACTCCATCGCCGAAGCGGTGGATAAGCAAAAGCAAAACGCTGACAAGAATGAAAGGGCAAACACTCTTTAAGTTAAAAAAGGTGACTTAGTCCTACTGTCTACGGTTAATCTACCAAAGCATGTAGTGACTAACTTGGGCAGCAGTAAACTACTACCCAAGTACATCGGCCCGTTTCGCGTATTGCACCGCCTAGGCAATGCATACACGATCGAGTTGCCACGTAAGATGCGAACGCATCCCACGTTTTACGTTGGTCGGCTTAAGCCGTACCATCAGTACGCTGCTTCTTTCGATGAAGAATGCCCTTGCGCTCAAGCATCTCGCAGAGAGCCTTGTGCTCCCGATGATGGGCATCGACAAGGGTCTGAAGAGCATTTATCTCATCCCGAGACCGATCAACAATCCCACGAGCTACCCTTAGCTCGTCACGAAGGGATGTCAGAGCTCTCTCGTTCTCAAGCTGAGCAAAGGCAAACTTAGCTCGATGCTTCAAGACAGTGTCCGCCATTTGGAGACGCCTATTCCGTTCATGTTCGAGATCGTTGCGTAATTCTTGTGTTACGCGATCAAAGAAGCTCTCGGGAACACACGGATCCCCATGATCGTGTGGAGAGCGTCTTTCCTCCTCCTCCACCTCCATTAGAGGACTCTCGCGGTGGCCAGCGCTATCTAGTTGAGCAGCTGTTGAGCCACCGCGACGTGAACGGACGTCGGACGAGTTATCTCGTCCGGTGGCGCGGCTATCCCCCGTCCTGGGATACTTGGGAGCCATGCTCCCAACTGATGATCGACGTACTGGGTCTGGTTGAGCAGTAAGACGCGGCACATCCTGTGCCGCAGAAGGACCGCCGGAGAAAGTCTTCCCGGCACGGTCGTAAAGGGACTTCAGGTTGTCAATCCCTTCGTACATCTCAGTAGAGATTTGTACGCGCCACCACGGGCTTTTAGGGAGGTAAGCTTCCTCAGGTGCTCGTGCAGAGTTATTCACACAACATGGGCACGAGTCTCCCCAAGAGAGGCAGGGTAATCCTTTCTCCCTTGACAGACGATGCAGCTTGTAGCGTGCACCTGTCGGGGATCACTTTTCAAACTTATCACGAGCTTTGATAAGTTTGTCGTTCCAAACGTCACGACCTACATCCTCAAGGTTATGGATGTAGGCGTTCCACGCTTGAAGTAGTGAGGGACCAAAAACGTTTGTGATTCCCACTGTACCATCGATGTCTAAAGAAAGCATCGATGAAGAATTCATTTTCAGCGCGATAGTTTTTCGCGCTGGGGTCAAGGTGATGGATCCTTGACGAATCGAACAACCTTTTTCGATAACGATCACTCGTCGTCGCCGACAAGTGATCCATGACGGACTTTGGAGGCATCCATGCCTTCTTCTCGGGAGCGAGACGCAACACATTGCGGCCCCGCTCTTCCTGCGATGTGCCGACAGAAGGACTGGCACCTCGTTGGTGCGTAGTGATAATAGGAGAACCGACACCACTATTAGCGCCCGAGCCTCGCGACCTCGAGCGCCTTCGCTTCGGCGATGGTTCATCTGATTCATCAGATGAACCAAAGATGCTACGACGCAAAGCATCATCATGCCACGCTTGGCAGGCGGCTTGGATTCGATCGCCGTCGATACGGATCCGTCTTCCGTATCAGGAGAGTACAAGACACCGAGCTCATACTCTGTGAAGACATGAGTGTCTTTATGACCAGCGCCTGCATCACCAAGTGACACAGGCTGAGTCGCTTCAGCAATCGATGAGACATCAGTTGCTGTGGTTTCTGCTTCGGCGTCCGCACAGAGACGTGCGGACGCGCTCTCGGCGGCCTTGCTCGCGCATCGCATGGGCTTGTTAACCATGCGATGAAATGTTGGAAAGTGGACTCGGACCAACAAGTGCAAACCCTGTCCCAACTGATTTGGGACGAGTATCCATTTAGTCAATCAGTCACTAAAGTGACTGATGGTTAAGGGGGGGGTGATGTAACGGGGTGAACCGTTGCATAACAATTTATAAGAAATTGTTAATAGAATATAACTATAAGAGTTATATTCTCAGAATATTGTCATAAGGACAAATATTCTGTAGCACTTACGAGTAGTTCCTAATTGGTTAATATAGGCCATTATATCAACCAACGAAGACGCGCCACGATAGACGCACGCAATGAGTGGTGAGCAGATAGTTGATTTGCACATTTGTAGTTAGACATAGTTAGATGAAGATAAATAGTGATTTATTGCAGACATTAACTATACTCAATACAGTTCTACTTTTTACTTAAACCAAGTACTCGCTTCTTCTTACCGTCTTCCTCTGCACGTACGAGTGTACGTGAAGTTACGCGGCACCGCCTTATTCTGTCATCAGAATAAGTAGCTTGTACTGTCACCAGTACAAGCTTCAGAGTGCCCCGTTACACCTTTTGCCAATAATCTGGCGATCAAGCACATCAGCATTAGCATGAAGCGGACCGTCCTAACAGTTCAGGCTGCCAACTATGTGGCCACTATCGAAACTCTCTGGCATGATATTAATTAGGGCTGCAACGCTAGTTTGTGCACTTATAAATTTCATACTATCGCTGACATGCTCACACTCGTATGGACATTTTTCTATTGCTTTGCATGCAACCACATTCCAATTCTCGTATTATGTTGACATGAAAGTCAGTATTTTTTTACTTCTAAGTCAGTTTTTTGGCAACTCAATCTGTTCAGCTTGCACATCATATCCGTCCCGTTCTTTGTCTCGCGCACTGTTGTCACTCATTCCGAGACGATATGCAAGCTGTTTGACGTCCTCTTCCTATGCCGGAAGCAGAAGCTGATCAGCGTCTCTACGTATAGAGCGCCGAACAAAATCGGCGCGATATCTGGTTTCGTCACTCGCCTGAAGCAGGCAAGTCTCAGCGGCTTCTATGGCTTATAGCGTCTGTTGCACCAGATCGGCATTTTGCTTTAAACGGCGTATCATAAACTTGATCAGGGGGAGTGGTGGGAAACGCTCCTTGCCATGATCTCACACCTTTGGAGGCAGCAGACGCTCGTTGATGAGATGGGCTCGAATTGTCCTAAGACGTCGACCATACGTTTATACGTTATGCTCCTTGCCACCAATTTTTTTTTTAAAATTAGCAAGAAATCATGGCGCACAACACCGAGATGCTGCTCCGCCTCATTTCAGTGAGCCAACACGCGCTGTGTGGTGGATCGTCTGCTTGGTCACTGCATCTATCACGAGCACCATCCACACGGTGGTGGTGTAGCTGCAAGAGAAGACCTGGCTCTCATCCACGAAAATTGTGATATGCAGCATATGATCGTCGACCGGAGGATAACATTCGGCGTGGAGAGAATAATTGTCGGATCTTCCGATTCCAACGTATAGTGCACGCCATCCAACTCAGTTGCGCGGCCGTGTAATCCAACTTTGCTGTCTTCGTCTAGGAACTAGGCCATTTTGAAATTACGCGGCCCGTCGCTCTCGACTATGCGATGCGAGCGACGCTCTTCGACGATATCGCGTCACTTAACTTTGGCATTGTCGAAAAACTCGCTGTGCCACGATATGGACACAGCGATAGCAGCGTCTTTCCCGCACCACCGGCGCATCTTTCTGAACAGGTTTAGCACAAGGTACGCGACACCACGTTCCTCGTTGAGCAGGAGCGAGTGGACAATTTGTGGACGCTAGCCGAAATATACAAGATCGGTGCCAGGGCGCTCTGGGCTAAATATCGTACCCGAAGAGTCACTGCAGTCAGCCACCGATTCCTGAGACCACATTGTGTTAGCAATGCCTATTTAGAAACGTTCTGCCAGTCATTGTCATGTTACAGGTTCAACTGCTATGACATGTGACGGTGACACCTGATTGGTCGAGTCCACAAAAACATCTTGACAGATGGCGAGACGAGGCTACGACAGTGACATATGATGCGACGAGGCAACGTCAATGACAGGTGTCGTGACCGGATGATAATAGACCACATAGGCGGTATGAGGTGGCGACATGACCGTTGGGCGACACGGCGACGGCTTCAAGATGAGAGGAAACACGGACGCTATCGTGTTATAGTCAACTTGCCGTGCACGTTTATATTATAGTGTTCGCAAGAGAAGATAACACTTTCAAAAATTCACTTCCACTTCTACCTCTTCGCACACAAAAGCCTAAGTTCCACGCGACAACTTTCAATAGGTTATGAGTCCAAAGATCAAGCGCGAGGCTGATGCGGCTACACAAGCTAAACCAGCCAAAGTTACCGACGGTCCTAGCAAGGCCGCCGAGATTCAACTGGAAGAGAAGTTGGCAGCGCCCAAGGGGGCGATGGACAAGATGGGTGTGGTGATGCTCGGAGACATCAGCGACCGAATGAATTGCACGGAGTCGTCCCAGAGAGCACAAACCAGCAGGTACGTCAAGGTACCTTCGGAACCTCTTTCTAGATCGGTCCTGGGAGCGGGGATGACCCTACAAGCTTTGGAGGAATCTCCTTCTCGCAAGAGGTCTCCAATCGACTTTTGAGAAAGGCGTCAAGATTTTGGGAATGTTGGTGTGCATCGTGGCGACTACGGTGGCGCAGAGACCAGGATGGGTCCAGTGCCTGAAACGGCACTCCCCATGCAAGAAACACCCCTGGACGACTATCCCGGTGTCGGCATGCCAGACAGGTAGTTTGCTGATGAAGGCCCGCTAGTCTACGGGATGCCGGACGCGAGATATAGAAAACTTGCACTTCAACCATTCGACGGCAAGGAACTCTACCAGGGACTTGCTAGTGAGTCTATCGGAAGGGGAAAGCAATTTGTCAGACAAGTTGCATTCGCGGAGCGTGCATGCGGGTTTGCATGGCCGAAGGATGTCAAGGTCGATGTGCTGGATCAGCACCTCGGGGGCAAGGCCCATATCTTTTATCGTCGACAAGTCGAGTCTTGGTGAATCGAAAACCAGACTCTTGACCACGCCATGCAAGGCATGCTTCAGGTTTTCAGCACAATAACTTCACCTGCGCAAAGCATAAAGCTCTTCACGACACTGAAGGCGGCACACAAAAGTTGCACGGACCATCATTACCTGTACCTGACGGCCGTGAGCGATGCGTGTGTAGGTGCGGACAACCTAGCGCTTCAAAGCATCGTCAACTACGCGGACCCTAACATGAGGATGACCATGTTGGCAAGGTCGAACATTCAACGACCCGACTCCCTGGGGCAAACCAAAGAGCTGACTCAGTTTGCCCAGCACATGAAGATTGAGTCGCAAGCAAAGAACTTGGGTCGAGACGTAGTGGACGCTTTCGAGCCAAAAGGGGCTTCGAAGGAGAGGGTCGTTGCAAGGTCAAGAAAACTTATTGACGAAGGTGGTGACCAGCGTACATGCTACAGGTACGAGTAGGTTGGCCACATCAGATCAAGGTGTCCGCGGGCGAATAAAAGGTTGCAAGTACAGAATTTAACTTCTCAATTGGAAACGGTGGTGACCTTTACGAGGGCCACTGGATCCTCGACGGTGGGTCCAGCAGACACTTGGTCAACTACCTAAGTCTGTTGATCGACCCCGAAGACTGTCGGGGTGAATGCTTATCTGCGGCCACCGACGGAGCTGTGCTTCGGATGACCAAGCAAGGGAGCATCGATATATAAAGGTTGTCGCGCTCGGAGTTAAAAAGATCATCAGACTCCTCGGTGTCCAGTATGCTGCAAACCTCGAGTGCGACATCATATCCTATGGTAACTCGAGGCCAAAGGATACGTACTCGAATATCGAGGAGGGAGCGCGTGTTGACCTCCGGGACGAAACGTTTACCGGTTATGGATGTCGACCGCACCAACAACTGGCTTATTGTCAAGGAGATGGTACCTCGTGCAATGGTCACTGGTACACCACGCGAGGCGATGATGACTGTGATCAAATCACCTGAATGTGAATCATATTCAAATTTTTAGTGTGGTACCTTGATGCACTTTCGACACCGAATTGGTCATCTATGCTTCAATACGATAATCAAGATGGCCAAGGATCCCGTGTCATGCATCAAGCTGACCGACACAACCCGCACGAAGAGCTTGGCGTGTGCTCAAGGCAAACAGGCCAAGCAAGCGCAGTCGAAGATGGACAATGGCATAAACTCACCCATCGATGTTATCGGTGGTGTGCTATGAAGTGATTTAGAAAGGACCGATGAACCCACGAGATCGTCTGGGTAATCACTACCTGGTAAATTTCATTGAACACCGGTCCAACTACTGCCGTGTGTTTCTGGCCAAGACCAAGGACGTTGCTGCACTCAAGTTCAAGCATTTCCTCGTACAATTCGAACGCGAGTTCAATTGCAAGATTTATTGTCTACGCACGGATGGAGGCGAGGAGTACAAGAATTCGGACGTGTTTTGCAAGGCAACGGGGGTTTTGCGTCAAGTTAGCGAGACCAGAAATCAATCAAGCAACGGCAAGGCTGAACGTATGCATCGGACTATCATGAATATGGTACGAATCATGGTGTTCGCCTCGAACCTACCCTTGACGTTCTGGGATGATGCCGCGGAGTACGCGACGTACATCCTGAATCGAAGCAGGACCAAGTCAAACCCGGGTGGAATATCTCCAATGGAGTTTCTAACGAAGAAGGTGCCCAAGTCGACCGACACCATAACGTTCAATTCAACCTGCACTATTTGTGCGGATGCTTGGAGAGCGCGGAAGGGTGGCTATTAGCATCGGCAAGAGCAATTAGACGAGGGGGACAAGGTGTACATTCCCAAGGATGAGGTGGTCTTGATGACTCAGCAGGTTCAAAACATTGAATCTTTGTTGAATGATGAGCACCTTGATCCGGAGTAAGGTGGAATACACCGTCAGGAGTCAACGAAGGTCGGTCAGCCGAACGCTCAAGGACAACGAAGCGGCAAGCAACATACCGAGAAGCATTAAAGGGTTGGGAAGTCTGGGTGGACAAGAGAACGACATGGTACATGGTCGACCTACAGACAACAAGTTTAAGGGACATCACGTAATATTACTTCTAAAGTTAGAGCCGTCGTCAATTAAATTATAGAACAAGACCCCAAGTACCATGGTGAAGCGGTCAAGAGCAAGCATCATCAAGAGTGAAAGACCGCTATGACCGAAGAACTGGATGCGTTGAAAGGAAACGACGTCTAGACGGTTGTTGTGCCACACAAGGGTGCGCATGTGCTACACAAAAGTGGGTGTACAAGACCAATACGGATGCGAACGGGGAGATATAGAGGTACAAGGCCCTTCTATTGTTCGCATAAATGAAAAAGTCCTCGGAACCAACTATAACCTTACCTTCTCAGAAGAGATGGACTTGACCACGGTATAGATGATCCTGGTGCTCTTAAGAAGCTGGAAGGTACCGGCTCGACACGGAGATATACCGAACGCATACGTCGAGGCCGAAAAGAAGGAGCATCTGGTCATCTACATGAATAGACCTAAAGGTATGATAACGGAAGAAGAGGAGCAAAGGAGTCCGGGAAAGAAGTCGACGAACAACTTGTCACTACTGCTGAAGAAGTCGCTATATGGACCCAAGAAGTCTGGAAGACTCTGGAGCAAGCTTCTCGATTACAAGTTGCGACAGAGAGGTCTTAGACAGTGCATGATGGACATGTGCTTGTACGTCAAGTATCAAGGTGAAAATGTACGGTGGTCGGGGTCTATGTCGACGATTCACTTGTCACGGGTACTGAGCGAAGTGCAGTAGACATTTCCATCACTGAAATGACATGCCTATCGATCAAGCATCTGGGCGTCGTGAACAAGTTATTGGTACTGCAAATTAAGATGGACGAGTCGAAGGGATACCTCCTGGACCAACAAGTAACTATCGAGTTGCTTTTAAAAGAGTTCGGACCGGACTCGGCAAACGGAGTAAGGACCCCAACTAGCGACGAGTGCAATCTTGAAGATGAAGATGTTCAAAAAATTCTACCAGAAAAAAGTGCCAAGAACGACCCAAGCGTAAATTCTTTCCAGTCAATGGTGGGGAGTCTGCTATGGATTGCAAGGTGTACGCGGCCGGACATTTGCTTTGCGGTGCACAAGGCAACAAGGCAGACGCACAAGCCAACGACCAAAGATTGGAAGACCGCAAAGAGGATCATGCGCTGCTAGAAGACGTCGAAAGATTTAAAGCTACATCTGGGCCTTGTTAAATAGGTTTCCAAGGATATTCAAGTCGAGTGCTGGAGCGACGCAAACTTCGCGGCGGACAAATCGGACCGTAAGTCTGTTTCTGGTTGTGTTCTGACCATGGATGGCTCTCTTGTATTTTGGTTGTGCAAGAAATAGTTTGGTGTGTCGATGAGCACCATGAAGGCAGAGACCATCGCCTCATCTCAATCTGGACGCGAGCTGCTAGAGATGATAGGCTTGCTCGATGAGTTTAAGCTGAGCGTCTAATATCGGCATCAAACGCTATGACCTCTTCTTCAGAGCGTGATAAGCGTGAACCAAATCGGTTTTTGCTCGCGCGGGTCCCTCCCTCTTAAACCAGAGTTACACTCTAATATGGTGGTAACACGCGGATGGCGCAAGCCATTCACGTAAAACGGTGTATGTTTCGTGGACGCATGCATCGAGTTGTTGATGGCAAACTCTACCATTGTCAAAAAATCACTTCAACTCTTAAAGGAGTGTACATATCCTCGAAGTATCTCTTTGAGGACACGATTGGCACGTTCCGTCTGACCATCTGACTCTGGATGATCAGATGTCGACATCTTCAAGCGCGTTCCAAGTGATTTGAACACGGAACGCCAGAAATCAGCAGTGAATCGTGGATCTCTGTCTGATACGAGTTCACAGGGCAACCCATGAAGTCGGAAGATGGTGTCAATAAAGACACAAGCACAGCCACTTGCCGTGATTGTCTCTGGTACAGCCACAAGGTGTACCATTTTGCTGAATCTGTCAACAAATACGAGAATACCCGTATTCCCGCGTGCGTCTTTGGGTAACCCAAAGACGAAATCCATTGAGATGGATTCCCAGCACTCAGCCGGAACCGGTAGAGGATGTAAAGGTGCACGCAGTGAAGGACTTGACTTCACTCGTTGACAGACTTCGCATGCGCGAACATACTTTCGCACAAACTGATACTGGCGGGGCCAGTAAAAGTCTCGACTCACCGTGACATATGCTTTCTCCCGGCCACGATGTCCTCCTATAGGAGCATCGTGATACTCGAACATGATCCGCAAACGCAGATCAGTATCATCTGGAATGACAACACGTGGTGTGTCACCAGAAACGGCTGTATTTTTCAGTAACCCGTTGCGAATAGTGTATCGATCTGATGCAGATCGATACGCAGACGACAATCGTTTCAACGATTCTCGAGATGGCTGTGAGGGATGTGTCAACAACTTCACAATCTCACCATCTTGGGCGTATGCACGCCTCACATCATCATACAACGTTGTAGATGGGACTGAGGACGTCATAACTGCAACAGTGACTGTCTCACTGTTGGGTTTCGCGACTGTTTCAAAGTCGGGACGACGTGAGAGTGCATCAGCGACGACATTAAGTCGTCCTGGTTTGTACTCGACCGTAAAGTTGTATTCTGCAAAGAATGACAACCACCGCGCCATTCGTTGTGAAAGGTGCGGGCTGTTCACTGCCGTGCGTAATGACGCATGGTCAGTGTAAACAACGAAGGGTCTATCTCCTAATAGATAGACTCTGAACTTCGCGAGTGCATACTTCATGGCAAGGAGTTCCTTGTCATGCACTGGATAGTTCCGCTCAGCTGGTTGCAGCTGACGCGACTGATAGCAGACGACGCGTTCAACGCCTTCAAGATCGTACTGCATTAATGCACAGCCGATTGCGAAATCGCTGGCATCACAGACCACATGAAATGGCCTGTCCTGATCGGCTATTGCTAGGACTGGGGATTGTATCAAGCTCTGCTTGATACCATCAAAGGAGCGCTGACATTCAGCGTTCCATAACCACCTCTCACTCTTTTTCAACAAACGAGAGAGGTGCACAGTCATCTCGGCGTAATTGCGTGAATACTTGTGCAAATACGCCGCTAGGCCAAGGAATTTTCGAAGACCTTTGACATCAACCGGCACAGGCCAGTCGGTGATCGCCTTGATCTTTTCGGGATCAGGACGTACACCGTTCTTACCAACGATGCACCCAAGAAGTGGTATTTCGCTTGCGGCAAATATACACTTCTTGAGGTTTGCATACAATTGATGCTTTCGCATGATTGTAAGAACCTGTCGGACGTGGTACCTGTGAACCTCAACGTCCGACTTTCCATCCATAGCTCGACTATGGATGAATACGTCATCGAAATAACTCGGCGCGAATTCTCGTACTGGTCTCAACAGATGTGTATCACATCTGTTGAACGTGGCAGGGGCATTACTGAGCCCTTGTGGCATTACTAGCCATTCCCAGAGCATGCCGCTAGGCGTGCTAACTGCGGTATAGGGTATATCCCGTGTCTCGCATAAGGATTTGATAGAAGCCATCCATCAAATCCATGGACGAAAAGATGGTACTCTTTGACATACCATCAATGATTACGTCCTTCCTCGGTATCGGCGTCTGAGCCGGTACCGTTGCAGCGTTCAATTTGTTGAACGCGTGCACTATCCGCCACCCTCCTGTTGCTGTTCGCACACAGAAGGTCGGAGAGCTATGTGGGGAAGTTGATTCCCTCACATGGCCCGCAGCTAAACGATCGGCAAAGAACTTGTCGATCGCAAGTACTTGTTCACGAGGCAGTGGCCACTGCTTCATGACACAGTACTTCGAGCCTGGTTTAAGCTCGAACTCGTGTCGAGTACCTTTATCCTTCGGTAATTCCCACGGAACAGTTTCAGGGAATACATCCTTGAATTCAACCAAATCTTCATAGAGAGGATTTGTCTTGAGCGATTCCCACGATTGGGAGTCATATCGCTCAACTCGTGTCTTTTCATCTAGGACACTCTCGTCCATAGATGAACTACTGAGAACTCTCTCGCTCTCAGTAAACACTGTTGCTGACCTTATGTCGGCTACACACTCGTCGTCAGCGACGAGTACGCAGATCTTCTTGACTTTGCCACTACGCAGATCACGCAAGAACCTTTTATTTTCGAGCGTTGGCAACTGAGTGATCTTCGAAGTCAACTTCGGAGGCGCAATCAGATCAAGTGTATAAGCGCCTACACTTGATCCGTTATTGACTAGGACATTCAATGTCTCTGTCATTTCCTGGGGACTTATTCCCTCAGGCCTCGAAGGACTTATTCCTTCGGCTTCCCGGGGACTTATTCCCTTTACTTGCTCTAGCTGTGGTTGCGCAACCACAGCGAGATCCTCTGCGAAAGACTCTCCAGTCGATCTAGGATCATCGTTTCGCTTGACCTGAGCGATCGATTGTTTCTCTTCTAGATGTTCCCCGCTAGGGATACATCTTTGTCCCGGTCCACTCGACTTATTCTAGCGGTGGACCTTCGGCGCAGCCTGTGTTTCCTCACAGCCGCCGGAACTTTGCTCCGAAGTGTAACTGTTTGTTACAATAAGGTTTCGTGGAGTCGTACTATCGACCGTACCACAAGTGAGGCCATCGCACTCACTAGTAGTACATCCACACGCTTGTAGACGCTCCAAAACGTTCATCAGGTGGTCATCTGATGAACAAGCGGCAGGCATCGTTACCGTTCGATGTTGCCAGTTTACCCGTGGTTCGTACCTTCTGAGCCACGGTATTCCAAGGATGACATCAAATTGTCATCCAAATCTAATACGATAAAGTCATCGTCATATTGGGTATCTTCTAGCGTATAGTGGATCTTCACTTTGCGCTTCATGACGGTTACGGATGCGCCTGTCGCAAGACGTACCGTCATCCTCGTAGGAGGTGTGTCACATTCACTGAATTTAAAATGACCATCTTCTAGCGATTGGCGTCGCACAAAATTGTTGGACGCCCCACAATCGACTAGAACTCGAAGAGACAACTTATTTGTCACTTCGAGTTTCAAGGTAATGAGTGAGACCTCATTACCTAGAGCAGCAACGCACAACGTTTGTGTGTTGGGAGCAACCTTCATCAAGAGGCCTACACATTCTCTTGACGTTGCTGGATCAGTAGGGTGCTCCGCACCTACTGATCCTGTCCGTTTTTTGACGGTCCATCCCGTTGTTGCGTCTTTGCACCAACTGCGGACCAGCGTCCCTGCCCCTTTCTCATGGGTGGACGGTCACTACGCCCAGTGTTGCGAGACACTGGACGAGGGGCACTACACTCGTAAGCGTATTGTCCTGTCTTCTGACATCTGTTGCATCTCTGCAACTTCTTGTAGCCTGTAGAGCGAGCCTTCTCGCTCTCTACATAACAGAGTTCCATCGGCTCTGGACCTCCGTTGTCATATCGTCTCGGTTGACGATATGATGTCGAGCTGGCGCGAGCCTGTCTCAGACTGAAGTCTTCCTGCTCCGCAATGGAAATGGCTTGTTCTAGTGAATCTAGTTCAAGCCGGAACAGGTGAGTCTTAACGGGACCACCCGCAAGACCCTGCATGAACACTGAAACCAACGTGTGTTCATCCACCGGATTGGAACTTATACAACTCGTGAGATGTCGTATACGTTGCGCGTAAGCGTGCACATCACGCTTACCCTGTTTGAGCTTCAAGAGTTCAGTTCGAGCTCTGAACTCAGCTCTAGGAGGTTCAAACGTTTGTCTGAGCCGCGACTTGAAGACTTCCAACGACCCAACCGCATATGGGTCGTGCAACTTGAGCCCCAGTGCCCAAGTCTTGGCACGTCCTGCCAGATTTGACTGGGCAAATGCAACTTGCATATCCCCGTCGTCGATGCGACGCGCCCTTATGGCGTCATCCAATTCGACGAACCATCTCAAGAGGGAGTCTTCTTCGACCCCCCTATACTTGGAGATGTCAATCTTCAAAGTCTCGGGTCGACGAGAGTGCATCGACCCACCAGCAGCAGCCTGCTGCTGTCTCAACAGTTCAAACTGTTGAGCACCCTGTTATCTCAACAACTCTGCTTGTTGAGAACCTTGTTGGTGAAGCAAGGCTACTTTCTTGCGTTCTGCGTCAAGTTCATTTTGAATGAACTTGGCGATAGTAGCATGTTGG